GAGTCAGGTCTGACTCAACAGCACATAACAACAACAACAACATCTCTGCTTAGATGACAGTTTCATGAAAGGCTTGTATCATAAGAATATGAAAATATTTACATAGAACTAATTTTCCATTTGGGGCAACCCATAAAGTAGTATGAAGCTCTTGATGACAACCCTCTTTCACATTTTTGCTTTTCATTGATTAAAGCCAGTTGTCAATCTTTTTCAAGTCTTTCTTGAATTAATTCAGTAAAATTGTGGTTCTCCATAAGTTAATCAGGATAATCACTATCATTATTTCTCATGGGAAGAGAGAAGAGTAACGAGGTAATTTGTTTATATAATTAAGTAAAAGTTTTTTCAATTTTGTTTTCTTCTGAGTTCTCGGGCATGAATACACCAGGTATATTCAGACCTGTAATACAAGTTCTTTGAGTCCATTATTTCAGCCATATTTTTCCAAAGTGTTAAACATTTTATTTTCCCCTAAATGAAAAGGTAAATGGAGCGTTTGAAGTTTGGTAAATGTAAAGATTTTAGTACAACAACTTTACCATTGGACCCAACCCATAAATTACTATATGGGTCCTGGTAACATTCTACTCTTTTCCCACTTATTAATTGGCTTGGGGGACTGAGAATTGATATCCAAGCAGCTTTGGTGTTAGAAGGATAAATATTGGAATGGGTCTTTTATCAGAGAAATGAAAATAGTTTTGGTAATTTTTAGTTTGGTCCTTTGGAGGAAAATGGATGATTTGGGAAATATCCCAATTAAGATCTTTTTCTTTAACTTCTTTATAATTTTTCAAAAATGTGTTACATTTTTCATAGTCTCTTGGGGTGCTCCCTACCAGTAATTTTTTAAATCAGTGAAAATTTCTTTTCATTCTAACGTTTATGCTTTATTAAATCCCACATGTGCACTGCATTTGACTTCCAGCAGACTTACCTCCTATGAGATCATTCTTTTAACTGCAACTAATATGGACTCACACCGTAACTCAAATACTGCCACTCCTCTCCCATCTTAGAGGAAGAAGAATATCTAAAACATGACTATGTGAACTTAACTACTCAAAAGATTTTAAAACTCTTCTCTATAACCAGAATTGAAA